TAAACACTCAGCACTTACCCTGGGGGGTGTGAGTGGAGAAAGGCTGGCTGGATGGACAAAGTTCATCTAATTTGACAAAATGGATGAACAGACTGGGACCTCTCTTATCTCTGAAGCAGATAAGACAGCTCCAACTGTGCAGTCTGCACCCTGTCTTTTGGGAATAATCTAGAATCTTCTGACAGTCATAGAACTGGTCAAGCTTCCAGGAATGTGAGCGAGGAGGCTCCCAGCCTGTGTCTGCCCCGTGCAGCATGAATGCCCACCTCGGACAGCTCTCCCGGCCAGAGGGCACGCTCGGCGCCCAGCAGTCTTCCCAGTGCCCACAACGGCGACCTAAGTGTCCAGAGCCAGCACACGAGTTACGCTGGACAGATTAATGCCTCATTTCCTAGGCCACATGTTCTGAGTAATTACGTTTTCCAAAGTACTTGAAGCAGGAAAACTCAATTTACTATAACCACATTGATGGAAGAGTTTTACATCCCTTGACTTCTCTAACACTAGATTGAATATTGAATGTTTTCCTTGTGTTTCTAGCTATCTTATTATGGCTTTGTAATGATGTCCTCAGAGGTGACTGTGGCTTTTTTGTGTCTCAGAAAATGACCACACAGGTGACTTGCTTTGTCATTGTTGTTGTTTTTTTAACTTTTACAATACCATTTAAGCTGTCACTTATCACGTCTTATTGTATTATTATGCTTATTTTATTCATTTCTCACTTTCCCTTCTAATTTATGCTGTGGTCTAGGAAACCAAATTTATTAGCTTATTATGCGCTATGTAAATGGATCATCCCTAGATCAGGAGCACAAAGCTTCCAGCGGATGCCTGGAGAGGCTCCCCTCCAGTCACGTGCATGAACTTCTGCAGAGACTCGATGCCCAATGAAGAGCACCTCCCTTCTCTCAGCCACGTGAGGGAGACAAGAGTCAGCAGATGGAGCTCAAATATCACCTTTTTGCAAATGAAGCTGTTATGTGGGAATGTGACCTGTCTCCGCAGGTAGCTGGACTCCCTAGTTGTGAGCGAGACTCACCCACCTGGTCAGGCGCAGGGTGGAAGGCCTCGGCCTCTGACCTGGGCCTGACTTGGGAGGCCGTACGGCAAGGACATGCTGCCCAGACACACACGCCCTCGGCCCGGCCGGCTCCTGAGAGAGGAAGGAGGCGTGAGGAAGGCGTGCCCAGTGCCTGGCCCTCAGAACACCCGTCGGAAATCAGCAAGGAGTGAGTCAGGCACGGAGCGGCCGGCAGGTAGAAGGAAGATCCTCCCTCCTGGAAGCCGAGGCGGGGCTGGAGTTGACTCCCGCTAACAGTGCTGGGTTTTGACTGCCCAGAGGCGTTGAGACCGTCTTCTTTCTCCATTGGGTCATTGAAGTGGCTGGATAGGTAACTTCCAGGTGAGAGGAGATGTGTGTCCTTGTCAGTTCTGTAGTTTGACCCACTTAACTTCAGCTTCTTCATGTTCAAAATGATAATAATCACTTCCAGAAGTCTTGCTGAAGGATCTTTATGGAAAATACATCAATAAAGGTCGAACCCCAGGAGTGGCCTTCTTCAGGTCTGCCCTCCGAAGCGGTTTACTCTCACCGGGAACCGTGCTATTTATAGCTGGTCCTCAGGCAGCCAGTATTGATCTCTCCAGGCTACTGAAGAGATGGAAGGTAATAACCCATAGTTTATTAATAAGCCCGAAGTTTAAAACCAGAGTGGTGTAAAATGGTGCAGCCACGATGCAGAACAGTGCAGTGGTGCCTCAGTAAATTAAACAGAATTACTGTGTGACCCAGCAGTTCCACGTCAGAGTGTGTCCAGAAAAGATGGAAAGCAGGGTCTGGAAGAGATGTCTGCACACCCTTCGTCTTAGCAGCATTATCCACAGTGACCAAAGGATTGAAGCCACCCAGATGTCTACCGACGGATGACTGGATAAGCAGAATGAGCTACATACACGCGGTCAGCATTGCTCAGTCTGACGAAGGAGGGAGATCCAGACATGATACTCCACGGAGGAGCCTTGTGCTAAGGGAAATGACCCTGTCACAAAGGGACAAATACTGTGTGATTCTCACCTACATGAGGTGTGTAGAGGAGTCAGATCCCTAGAGACAGAAGGGTGGGTGCCAGGGCCGGGGAGGGAATGAGGAGTGAGTACTTAATGGGGTCCGAGTTTCAGTTTGGGAAGATGGAACCATTCTGGAGATGGACGGTGGTCATGGCTGGAAAACCACGTGACCGTACCTAATGCCACCAAACTGGACACTTAGAAATGGCTAAGATGCTAAGTGTCACATTGTGTATATTTTGCCACAACGGAAAGTTCAGAACAGAAGAGAGAATGGCTGAGCGAGAGGCTGAGCTGTGAGCCTCAAGGAGCAGGTGGGCCCCGTGGGGAGGACACCGAATGGTTTGCGTGTTCACACCACGGGCTCTTCTAAATGACGCCCAATCCTGAGAAATGCAGTTTTGTGAGAAATACAAATGACTGTCATACTTGTAATTGTGGAGTAGGTAACAGCTTGTCGTTTTCCTTGACACTTTGTTAGAGAAAGTTTGGTCAAATGCATGGTTATACCAGCAGTAGCCTTAATAATGGGTCCGCAGACGTCTAGCTTTTCTTTGGCCAAGGATACAATTTTTTTTTATTCATCTGAGGATATGTTTTCCATTGCGTTTTAGAGAAAGTGGAAGGGAGAGGGGGGGAGAGAGAGACATCCGTGTGAGAGAGACACATCGATTGGTTGCGTCCTGCGTGTGCCCTGACAGGGGCCGGGGATTGAACCTGCAACCCAGGTACATGCCCTTGACCGAGAATTGAACCCTCCACCCTTTGGTGCAGGGCCAACGCTCTAACCACTGAGCCACACCAGCCAGGGCCAATAATATAACTTTGGAAAATGTTGCCTTCTCATAATTCAAATGTGTTAAAATGATAAGTTTATAGAAACATGGAAAAGCTATGATTTTCCTTAGAACAAATAAACCTCTATTCAAAATCCGAATATACCTTATATTTGGGGGGGAGGATCTGTGATATAAATTAATAACAAATTTAAAACTGCTCATCCGTGACACACTCCTTCCCAAACTCTCCTCCTCTTCCCGCTTCACACTAATAAGGAGAGAACATTCTAGAAGCTGGAGACCTTTTGTTGACTGAGAATCATGGTGTTGGCAGTGAACCGGCCTTCGGGGTAATTTTCGGTGGTGATGTCCTTGGCAATGTGGACTGGGAGGAGCCTGTGCAGAGCTTAGCTATGTGGCCTGGCGGGGGGGTGCCGGGAGGATGCTGGATTCAGGGCCTAGGAAGGGGGGTTTCCAAAGGAATCACGAGAGCAGGGAATTTGGGGAGGACTAACGTGGCCTGTGTAGCATGCTATAAAACCTTCCCTCTTTCCCTGGGTGTTGTCAGTAAAATCTGTCTCCCACTGGGGCCTGGAGGACTGTGTGGGCTTTTGAGGGGCGGGATGAAGTGTCAGGTGCTTCCTCCCAGAGGATGAGACAGCGACCTGCTCTCACCTGCAAACTAGATGCTGACCCTCAGTTCACTTCACATTCTGACTCCTTTCCTCCCCAGCGTCAGCGTTACCGGCCAGCGCCGTGGTCCGCAGTCTGAGAGTAAACTAAAAAGTCGTATCTCTTATTGTGGCAAGTCAGTGGTTTTCCAAATGAATCTTCCCAGTATCCACGTATAATATGTTCTCTCTCGCCCTTTTCCAGAACATTCTTCCTAATGCCTTAGGTTTTTTGCCCCCCCCGCCCCCCTGATTTACCTCTAATCTAATTCAAATGGAAGCTTCCCATGGAAATGGAACTCCCAGTATTAATTAGGCTGAGCAACGATGGCTGCCATGGGGGGAAAACCCGGATTCTCAGGGGTTAATGAATCACAGGCGTATTTCTCACTCCTAGTTTATGCCCATCTCAGGTCAAGAGGGCCGTGTCCACGGTCACCAGGCACCCAGGCTGAGGGGAGCTCCGTCATCTTGTAGAGGGGACGCCTGGAAAGCAGGGCCTCTGAGATCACCAACTAAAGCAGAGAAGAGGGGTGGAGGAGGCACCTAGCTCAGGGCTGTCTAGGCGTAGGAGGGACACCGGCCACTTCTGCTCATAGCTCTACCGGCCAAAAGAAATCATGTGGCCCCAGCCTGTCTGCAGGGGAGGCTGGAGATGTAGGGGAGCACATGGAACATTAGCGAGCACTCTCGCTGCTACCCCTCCCGACTGGAGCGCCGTGAAGCCCTAGTTTCATTATAATTCAAACAGCTTTGGAATGCAATTTTTATATGACAGGTGTTAGTCTATTCCCATGGACATTTCTACTAGAAGACGGGTTTGCCCAGTTCGCAAACCGTTTTATCTGAATAAAGTCTCTCCTTTTACTGCAGACGGGCGACTCCTGTTGGCATTGGGTGGGTGGCAGTGACCTTCCGTGGACAATGCTAAGATCCTTTGCCACTGATGGACAAAGCCCTCCCCCTTCTAGAAGCAGCCCACCCTTTCGTGGCCTCTGCCTGCGTCGCCCCTTCTCCTGGGAGCCCACGGCCTGACGGTGTGAACCCAGTGGGAGCCCAGGAAGGGCACCTTCCTCTTTCCCTCTGCCCTCCATAGGCCTCCTGTGTTTTGATGAAGGAAACAGCGTCCGAAGGCCTCCCTCTGCCCTTGAGACAGAGGCGCCGGTTCGGTGTGGACGAGAGCTGGCGGAGGGGGGGAGGCGCGCAGTTATGTCTCCGCTGTCTGTGGGACCCCGCCTGCCACGCACATGCCGGTCATCGGCGCAGCACCTACTGTACCTGAACCTGAGGAGCTAGAAAGACTTAAAAAGAGACACAGGTGGCAGCTCTTTCCCCTCAGGCACTGCAAACAGGAAAAGTAATAAAACCGGTCATTTGAAATCTTGCCCAATGTATGCTAAACAAATAGTCCGAAGATGCTTCAGATTTAAAGCAAAGATAATCCTCTAAGCGAGTGACTTTCTCCTTCCTTCTCTCTCAGGCTTTTCCTCCGAACGCCATCACCGTGTTTCTTTACTGCAGCTCGGTGACTGCATTCTTCACAATAATCAAGCTGGTCAGCTATCGCCTCCACCTCATGTTTGATAAAGGAGAAGCCATCCAGCAGCAGCCCCCGAGGAAGAAAGAAAAGCCAAGTGAAAACAGGGGGGCCCGCAGCGAGCACACCCCAAACCACAAGCCCGCAAGGTAACACTGCTGATCAGTGCATCAGCTCATAACCTCAGTGTTTTCGTTTTGATTGAAAAGCTTAAATTCTCCCCTCATTCATCAGTGGCCTGTGGCAATGTGTCAGTGCAGGCGGATGCAAACATGGACGCGGGCACGCAGGCACAGCCCACCCTGGGAATCAGGCTGGGCTCGGGAGTGTTACCCTGACCCTAAACCTTGCTCCGGGATCCCTTTCAGCAGCGTGTTTCACTTCAGTATTTCTCTTTCCTGTCACGCTGGCGCCTGCCAGAGTGCTTTCTAAAGGAACGTTTGTGTTTGTTAATGTAAAAGTCATCAATCGCATAGACCCGAAATATTGAGAGTGATTCTCGGGTCAGCATCGCTGCCTCTGTTCTTGCCCTGATTTCTGGCTGTTCCTTAAGACGTGTCCTATTTTAAAGTAATGTTTATTATCCTCTTAAAAACATGATTTGTACACAGTGATGATGACGAAATGGAACGTAGGGGGAAAATTGTCTGGGGACTAATGCCGAACGAGTCATAGTTCGAATTGCTGATTTCACTGCTCCTGTGTTTCTCCGCTTGGATCAGCAACGACAGGCCGACCAGCGACGGCAGGAAGGGGCAGGCCACTCAGAACTGCTCTACGCCCCCCCTGCGCTGCAGCTCCCGAGGGCCCAGCATCAACTCCCACCACTCCTCCGGGCTGCTGGTCAGTGTGGGGCCCCTGTTCCTCTCCCTCGTGGGCTGGGGAGTGATCGCACCCAGAACGGGCGTCTGCTTGCGGTTGTCGTTTCCACGCACCTAGCTGTAAACCGGCCCTTGTGCTTGTGGGGTATCACATCGCAGGGTGAGGAAGTGACCTGGGTGGGGCTTGGACCTCGGGAGAGACACTGGTGCGTGTTGCAGGCTCCACCTGCCCGGCCTGTCGCCCTGGCCGGAAGGACCCCTGGCTGACCTCCACCTGGCTCTCCCTCCCCTGGAGTCGGCTCCACCTCCAGAGGCACCTCAGACCACACCTGTCTCTTGGAAAATCAGTAAATCACCTCTTTTCTAGATTCATTTTTTTTTGGCTCCGGTCACTGTCCTGTAAAGTAGTACCTTATTCCGTCTCCTTTTTAGTTGCTTAGTTTCCAGGCCCCCTTTTATCCCAGGCCGGAGTCTTCGCTGGGTGTCTGCACTGAGATGCACACTTTTGCGTTTGTTTTCCTGTCCGTGTCATTGGGAGCGTAAGCAGAGCGGAGACAGTACCGTCCCTCCCCCGCGTGTCATTTAGAGCCACGGCGGCTGCTGGCTGCCTGGAAGCGGGCGGCGAGCTGAGTCGTGATTGATTTATGTTCTTTCCTTTATTCAGGAGTTGCCAGCACAGGAAACAGTGGAGGATCTCAAAGGTAGGGTGCCTCCTGTCATCATTTAATCTTTTATCACAGCATCCTCCTCAGAGAAAAAAAAAGAGCTTTGCAAAACAGAATCCCAGTGAGAGTTGGAAATAAGAAGTATACCTGAGACCACATAGTTATACTTTAACTTCATTTATTTTACTCTTAATTTTACTTGTCATCAGAAGTTGTATGTCATGTCTCCATTCAAACTGACATTTTATGGGTCATACTTCATTGTCCTTTCTCCAGTCTGGTCCTCATTTCACATGGTTCATAATAGCAGGTCTAAAGTGGAATAAGTTTATCATCGGCATACAGACTTGAAAAACGACGGGAACTGATAGCACATTCTGCGTACCTGCTTTTCTTTCCAGTTACACTTTTTTTTTTCTGGGAACTTTCATTTATTCCCCCCGCCCCAATTTTTGTTTTACTTCTTTACTAAGTTTTCATTTAATTTTCTTATTATTCCTTCAGAAGACTTAGAAAAGACCATTGCGAGGCCTAAGTTAACGCCTTCTTGCCTCTGTAACTGTTTTTTCCAGTACCTCTACAAAGAGAAATTCACGCTCGATTTAAAACTTGAAAATAGTGTCAAATTTTATTTTCTGGAAAACAGCTAAAATTAGCATCATGGCCTGAAAACCTAAATGAACCTTCTTTTTCATCACTCGGATAAATTCCACGGACAATAATTCATAAAGGAATATTCAGAGCATTTTGTCTGTGTTACTACTCCTGAAATGACGTGTGCGTTAGTTGGGTTGCAGGTGTTTTAGTTACTTACACACGAAGTTCACAGCAGCGTTGGCTGCAGCATGTTGGGCGGGGGCTCCAAGTTATTTTTACCAACGAGCCCGAAGGCAGAGCGGAGCGAGGATGTTCCCCGCCTGCTCCGGGCACTGCCCCCTGGGACCCAGGCCACGGGCTGAATCCACCTATGGCAAGGGTTAATTTAAAAAATACATTACCTCTTAAGCTTTTCATTCTTTTCCCTAAGATGCCCATTTGTTTTGATCATAAGGTGATATTTTATATTACTTCGATAGTTGTGTTACTTAATTTCCTCTCCACTGTTCAAGGGACATGAGAAGTAAATGACAAATGTTTTATCCCGTTTTCCCTGTGGCTTTTTGGACCCCCGGACCCCCGAGAATACACGTCACGATAGAAGTGAAGGAAAAACTGAGGGCACTTACCGACTGAATGGCCGTAGGCTGGGGAAGGTTTCCAGCCTGGGAGGCTTGGGAATGGCGGGGTCACCAGCAGACACAGGGACGCTGGGAAGACAGAGCTCATTTCAGCTGCCATGAAAAGTGGATGCTGCTCACAGATGCATTTTTAAATGTTTTAAAAATGCATGAATCACATCAGAAGTGCGAGGTTATTATTGTCCTCAGATCAAGGTGCCAACAAGCCCAGTGCCTCGTCCATCCTCTACATCCCCATTTTACAGATAAGGAGGGTGAGGCTAGAGCCCTGGTCTCAATGGAAGGGCTTTGCTCCCCTGGGCACACCTGACAATGTCTCAGGCATTTTTCATCGTCATGACTGAGGGCAAAGTTGCTGCGGCATCCATAAGCAGAGGCCAGGGATGCTGCTAAACATCCTGCAATGCGCTGGACCGCGCAGGTGTGAGTTACCTGCTCCAAAATGTCACACATGCCACAGCTGAGGATCTTGGTTTAGAGGGATGCAGTAACTTGCCCAAAGTAATGTAGCCACTAAATAGCAGAGCCAAGCATGTGGCCTCCCTAGGCCATAAAACAGCGGAAGCTAAAACAGAGTCTGAACTATTATTTTAAATATAGAGATTTCGAGTGGAGGTGGTGTTTTTCAATTCAGCATCCAATCGCTTTGGTCCCTGGTGCTAATTTAGTTTTGTTGTTATTAGGTCTGGGTCTGGGCCATTATTCATCTGTTCCGAATGCCGATAAAGTTGCTGTTGTTGTTGCTGGCAGGTGTCATTCTGGCAGAAGACCACCCGGTAGCACCAGTGTCATCTCCCTCACCTGGTGTCAAAACAGAGAGCTCACCTGCTTCTAAAGCATATGTGCCAAAAACTGTGACCACACCGGCAATCCCAATGAAACCAGGAAAACATGACAAAGGGAAGGGCGGAGGAGGCAAGGGGCAGCCTCTTCGCCACCGGTCCGAGGGCGGCCTGGTGGAGAGAGGCACCTTGAAGACCTTGCCGCACCTGTCCCTGTCTCAGTACGACTTGCTGAAAACAGGTGTTTCCTTCCAGCCCTGGGGAAGCGAGAATTCAGTCCTGACCCCAGAGCCCGTGAATTATGCCCAGGGCTCCGTAAGGGAACAGTTGCAAAGCAGGTCACCTCAGGACAGCCTGAGCAGCAGCTGGCCCCAGTGTAACACCGTCATCGTCCAACCCGGGCAGGAGCCGGCGGATGCCTCCCAGCAGGTGGACGCCTCCCAGCAGGTGGACGCCTCCCCACAGGTGCACCCGCCCTTGACCCAGCAAGCGGACTACTCAGAGAGTGAGGTGGCCGTGACTCTTATAGATACTTCTCAGCCTGGAGACCCACTGAGTCTGCACGAACCCATTAAAATCGTCATCACCATGAGCAGTGCCCCGGGCTCCATGACAGACTTGGAGAGCTCACTCCACCTGAAGGTGGTTGGCACCGAGAGAACAGGTTTACAGTCTGGTGCTGAGCCAGCCACCCCAGGGGGCACTAGCACCCCAAACGTGGAGCAGAGAATTCCTGTCATCACCCTCGAGCTGTCTGAGGACAGGGGAGGAGCCATCATGTGTCCCGAAGGCAGTGGGAATCAGAGGACTCCAGAGAGACGGGTGGTGGAGGCCCCCTCCGCTCAGTGTGCTGGCTACGAGTCTGGGGAGGGGGCAAACGCCACAGAGCCCCTAGTTCCTTCCCGGGGAGACCACTGCGAGACAGCCCCCCCACACACACCCACGGTGGCCCCCGAGGGTGAGCCGGGAAAGGAGGGCCAGGCCAGCCTTGGCCCACTGTCTTGTAAGAGCGGCCACGAGAAGAGACACGCCCGGGTCCTCAGCATGGACAGCGGGACTGACGTCTTCCTGAGCAAAAGTTCCGCAGAAATTGCTAACGATAAAGAGAAAGCAATGCCGACTTCCAAATCTGACCTCGAGGCGAAGGAGGGACAAACGCCCAACGAATCCAACTTCCTGGAATTTGTCTCCCTGTTGGAGTCCATCAGCACCTCCAAGGCGGTGGCAGCCAGCGAGAGGAACGGGGCCGCCGAGCCCGGCGGAGACAGCGGGCTTCCCGGAGGTGAGCCCCACCGGCCCTGTCCCGATGGATGATACAAGGAAGGGGGTGCTTCTCTTCGTTATTTGCCTTCTGTGGTTTGACTTTGCAAATAGTGGGACCACTGTTGGGCACTCGTGCCACTGATATTTACTGAAGGTGCCAGTGCTGAGCTATGGGATGAGCACATATTAAAACTGGCTCCACTGGGAAACTTAAGGCATAGAAATGGATGTTTGGCTTCCCTAGAAGGTGAGGGTATTTAATTACAAGGAAATAAGCAGTTATGTTTTACCACAGTGACAAGAACTCGCAACAGATGCCTGTCTCTTCCTTTATAGAATAGACGCTTTGGGACGGCTGATGGTAAAGTGAATTTCTGTTAGGTGAATCCACTTCTCTGCTGAATCCCATTATGAAGTCCCATATTTGGAAATCCCTAATCACCTCATGCGGTGAACATAATGATAGCACACAGCCAGCCCTTGGTTTACACAGGCGCTGGCCTAGCACCTGACGTGTGTGAACAGGGCGACCGGACCTTGTGGTTTGCCCGAGAGGGTCCTCGTTTACTCTGGTTTTGCCAACATAATTACTAATTGCACTGCCTTTCACTCTCTAAAGCGTTCCCAGTTTGAACAATAAATTACAGTTACTCTCATATGAGCTCCTTAACTCCTCATTTAACCTTATGATATGGGAACAATTATCATTCCTTTCTGCAGCTCAGATACTTTCATAACTTTCCCAAGTCAGCCTAGTAAGTACCGGGGCTGAGCTTTGATCCCACGCAGTCTGGCTCCAGACCCCATGCTCGTAAAGTATAAACTGTACTTCCTGTGTGAATGTAGAATTCATTTATGTTCAGGTTACTTAACACCACTGGGCCTCAGTTTCCTCACTGGTGAAATGCTGTTACTGGTTAGGGTTTTTGCAATCTTTTCACTTTATTTTTTTATTTTGTTTTTAGATATTTTCATTGGTTTTAGAGAGAGAGGAGGGGAGAAGGAGAGAGCGATAGAAGCATCGATGTGAGAGCACAAGATGATTGGCTGCCTCCTTCCTACTGGGGATCGAGCCCACAAGCAGGGTATGTGCCCTGACCGGGATCGAACCAGCCGCCTTTTGGTGCACGGATGGTGCCCAGCCAACTGAGCCGCACCGGACAGGGCAAAGTCTCCCAACTTTATATGTTCACGTTTCTGATTTTTGAGTACATCATTTCTGTGCGTATCTGATGAGATAGTGTCTGTCCAGTAGGATCGCCTGCTGGAGGCTGTGATCTCACACGGCAGCTCCTGTGTTTGCTGTGGGTCACAGCGTCTCTTAGTGTCAGGATTGGCCCTGGGCTGCTGGCTGCACTTTGCTCGCTGG